ATGGCATATGACGGCCACATTCGCGGCCACCAAAGCTCTTCTGTGATAAAACTAGATCATACGATACAAATTTGTCGTACTTTTCTTATAATAAAGATAAAACATTACATACAAATGTGGAAAAATTATGTTTATTTTTTCGGGCGGTCGTCGATAGGTTTGGCTACAATGGAAATCATATTCGTGCGAACTCCGCAGCCAGATGGCTCTGTATTTTAGTATACGCAACGCGGCCGTACCCGACCTACCCCAACAACTACCGCAACCAGGCAACCGAACAACGGCCACCGCCCGCCCGTGTCAGCACTGCAGCCGAGCGGCGAGACCCACTTCAGCTCATACCGCCCGTCTCGCACCGCGTCAGCACCACGCCGCCGCGACAGACGGACGCTGCTGCACACCGCTAGCCACCCCTTGCCTCGCAGACAACTGAGGTGCCTACTACCTTCCGGGCAGCCAGTCACCAACAACTGTACCAGGTGCAGGCGCGTTTTAAGGGGGGGAGGGGGGGTGATCACCCCAGGGTCGGACTGGGGGGTTGAGGGCCTCCCGGGGAACGTCATGCGAGGGGCCTCAGAATTCAAACCATACCCCCCCCCCCTCAAAAAAAAAATAGAAAAAGTAGAAGAAAGGTTGTTTTCACTCAGAATTAACCTAACGCTTCCCTAAGTTTTAAACCGTTCCTGGTGAAGTACAGGGGCAAGCAAAAAAACCTCGCATCTAAGCATTTACGCGTGTTGCTGGAGCTTGTAGCCTGACTGGAAAACAAGACCGCGAGCGTAGCGAGCGCGAAAATTTTGTTAAGGAATCACCCTGCTGGGACGTCAAAATGTGTTTTTGACCTACAAAGCGAATAAAATGGGTTGTGAGGACCGATCGGAACAAATTTCCCTGACTTTTTTCGTGTACCAGAGTCAGGGCCTCGCTACGCCAGGCTAAGAGGGCCTCGCTTCGCGAGGCGGAGGGCCTCGCTAGGAGGAGGGCCTACCGGGCGATTGCCCGGCAGCCCTCTGGGCCAGTCCGAGCCTGGATCACCCCCCCCCCTGTGGGCCATTAGATAGCCGCCTAAAGGTAGGCAATTTGACCTACAAAACCCCTGTATGTAGGCAACTTTCGATGCACCTCCCCCACTGTCCGCCCCCCCTTAATACGCCACTGATCAGGTGGCTGACTCGCGCCGCGCACTTTCGTAGTTATACTCGTCGATGCCCACGGTTCATCGCACACTGTAATATGGGGGTGTCTACGCCAAAAAGCGTTCGCTACAGGATTCCGAGCGACATTTGGCGTAGACTTTTGAGACATCTTTTGGCGTATAGATTGTTGACATCTTTGCCCATACGACTCCCACGCGGCACAGCCCCAGCTCAGGCCCGGACTGGCCCACGGAGGACACAGTATACACTTCTGTGTCGTCCGTGGACAGGCCCGGGCGGAGAACGGCAAAAATCCGCGGGGGCCACGGACCACGGGCCACTGGTGGCCGGGGGCCACGAGAAGCGTGGCTGCAAGGGCTCGCGGGGCAAGGCCAGACAGCTGCACAGCTGCCCAGGAACGTCCTGACGCACACGGGACAATGGGACACTCAAAATTAACGTTAACTTAAATCGTTGAACAGGCAGGCAGGGGAGGGCACTGCGGTGCGGGCACGGCCGGGCGCCGCCGGTGTGCTACGCTAAGAGCCGCTCGCTGCAGCCGCACTACCCGAAACTTAAAGAAATAAAAACAAGGTTGAGTAGTTCAACAAGCCAGGAGTTGTTTGAACAGCTAATCACTTGTCCCTGTTGCAAAGCACGCAACTCCACGGAGCCTCCATCAAAGCACGCACAGCGGTCCGGCGCTGGCGAAACCACGCTAAGTTCTTAGGCGCTGGCGAAACCATGTATCGATGTTTTTCAAAAAAAATCTGAGATAACTATATATTCTGGAAGAGGGAAACGTCCTCTTTCCGACGGTATAGGTCTCAAAAATCACCTCAAAAATCGAGTTGCGTGGTTTCGCCCAGCGTCGGACAGCTGTGCGTGCTTTGACGGAGGATCCGCGGAGTTGCGTGGTTTCGCCAGCGCCGGAGCGCCGTGCGTGCTTTGCAATAGGGACAAGCGTAATAATAATTAGTGTAGAGCGAGAAATAGCTGCAAATCTTGATGTTAAACTAGCCAGGACCTTCGGTCCCCCCGCCCCCGAGGTCACTGGCCAGAGCTGCCGCGGGGGCCCAATACCCCCCCCCCCCTCGGGGCCTGATCTCGTTGTGACGCGGTGGGTGCGGTCGGCAGCTCGCGCATTTAAAGCATTCGACCATCGACCATCAACCATGACCCTCGGCGTCGTCTGCTTCGCCCTGCTGCTGCTGCTGGTGGTGGTCGAGTACCGGACGCCGGCAACGAGCACCGCGACAGCGGCGTCGCACTACATCAATAACCTCGCAGTGAGTTGTTCCGAAGAGTACGACACTCTGTAGTGCATTCGGAAATTCTTGGAAGGGTTACAGGAAAATATTCCAT